TAGAGGGATTCTCTAACTCTAATAGACACACACACACACACACACACACACACACACACACACACACACACACACACACACACACACACACACACACACACACACACACACACACACACACACACACACACACACACACACACACACTTTTCAAGTAGTAGAGTAGGCTATATTTCTCACACTAACATAAAAATGGAGCAGACCCAGAGAAAACCCTCAGCTTTAGTCCCTCGATAGAGTTCATATTACCAGGTCTGCTTCGTATACCCAAGATGGGAATGAGTGTGTTAATCATGTGCTATGACACACTCTCTGTCATGCAAACACACATTTATTTGGATATATAGAACCCATTCATGTTCACAGTGTGAGGTCGGGGAAGTGCATTCATTTGTGGAAAGATAAAGATGACGGAATTGCCTCAGCTTTGCTTAGGTCAGGTTTAAACCACTCCACACACTCAAATACTCTGCCATCTTCATCTAAATAGTAAACACCTTTATCTATATATTGAATATACAGTCCATATCTTTCATGTAAGAGTTACAAATGTGCACAATATTAACACATTTTGAGTGTTATCAGCTGGATGCTGTTAGAGTGTTACGCTGGGGGTTGGAAAAAAAGGAGAAGGGAGTGAAAGGAGGAGGAATGCAATCTCAACACCTTCAGCTTGTGCCCTATTCACCTTACATCTTGTTCTGCAGGAATGCCATTAGCTCAGTGAAAAATGCTTGTGTGTGTGGATGGATGTGCTCGTGAATGTGAGTGTACAGATGTCTTGTGTGGTGTCTGAGTTGGAAGCAGGAGTAAGAGCTGAAACTAATTTTGGTGAGTCCTCAAGTTTGTCCACATTTTTTCAAGGCAGTGTGTGTGTGTGTGTGTGTGTGTGTGTGTGTGTGTGTGTGTGTGTGTGTGTGTGTGTGTGTGTGTGTGTGTGTGTGTGTGTGTGTGTGTGTGTGTGTGTGTGTGTGTGTGTGGTGTGTGGTGTGTATCATGTGAATGTTGGATCTCCTACAACACTTTAATGCTGTAAATTAAGTCGGCTGTGTGCTGATTGAAACCAGACGCTTTTACTCAGACTTCTTACACACATGCTCACATATGCCAGCACATCGTTCCAAGGCACCTTTCTGTTTTTCCAAAGTGCTATAAATCCATTTAAGGTGAACTTAACCAAGGTTTTTTGTAAGTTGGCATCTTAGCACTTGAGTTATCCACTGCATAAATGGTAATGTCTAAATTGAAACTAAACTCTGTATCTTTATGTAGCTGTATATGAATCTCATGTCATTTCAGGTTGCTCTCACTCTATCCCTGTTTTTGACTGCAGTTTTATGAATGTACTACTTCTCAACCTAACTTAGGTCAAGTTGCACTTTATTCTTGCCTCACCCTGGATAGAAAATACAGTAATTTAGATGAGTGTCACACCACATTACGATTTTAAGCTTAGAGTGCATCACAGAAAAGTCATAGTGTAGGTTAAGCTGTCTTTATTTGGGCCAAAATCTCAGAGAGCCAAAGCAGACGGAGCATTAAAGAATGCCCTAAAACATTGGCCCAGGTTTGATCTCACCTCAGATTTAGCATGGTTTAATATTTCATTATAACCCTTCTTGCTTAAAGGGCTTTGTCCCAACAGAGTTCTGCATCGGTCAGCACATGGCCCACGAACAGATACATAGGACATACACACACACACACACACACACACACACACACACACACACACACACACACACACACACACACACACACACACACACACACACACACACACACACACTTTGGCCTGCAGAGCCAGTGAAAACAAGGCCGGGCTCTGCCAGTGTAAACACGGTCCATTGTTATGGGCACTGTTTCCCGCCTCGTATCCTCGCTCCCCGTGGCGGGAGAGGTACAACGCTGGCACTCGTCCCATCTACCGCAGTTATATTAAGACTCATTTGCCATGCATTTATGTGACCATGTCATTATAATGCAGGCTCTAGAGTGTGATTTATGTCCTCCGTTTCTCTCCCTTGCACTCGTCGTTCTCTCTTTTATTGGTTCAGTTTTTACTGCTTGGCTCCTTTAAGTGTGGTTTGCGGCCGTTTGCTTCGAGAGGTTTCAGCTTTTTGACAATTATTTTTAGACAAGCAGCCGTCAATTTGCTATGTTGTACCAGCTTCTGCCAACAAAGTTAGGCCGTAGAGAAACACATGGGAAACGGCTGTTCTAAAGGATAGCAATCCTAATAATAAACAAGGGTGTCGGTGTGTGTGTCGATGCACATGTGTGCTCAATTTATGCACAAATATCAGGTGGGGGTTTGAGTGTGCATGCGTGGGTGTATCTCAATTATGTCCCTTCATTTTGTAAAAATGTGAGTGTGTGTCATGGCGTCTCTCAGCTGTGACCCTGGGCCACATGTGCAGCCGATTAGGGCCAATCAGAAGGCTGTAATCAGGGCGTGGCTTGAGGATGGTGGCAGCGTGGGGGAGTTTTAAGACCCGTGATTAGTGTGTCAGACTGATGAGGAAGGACAGGGGGGGGGGGGTGCCAGGCCAAATCCCATTTCTTAATTTCCATGCGTATTTCACCTCCACATATGGGGGACTTTGTTTATTTAGTTTATTTAGTTTGTGCCAACCACGCTGGGATAAAGCAGGGTTTCAAATTCTTGGGTTTTAATCTATTTAGGCAACAGATTGGTGCGGTACGCCACATGAGATGATGCAATTACAGAAAGGTATTTAAATGTAACAGTATACGTTTCTACAGCTGGCAACTCACCTAACACCATATGAGTTCTCCTGATGCAGTACGGTGAACCCAGGCCAAGCAGGTTAAACACATAGACCAGAAATATGTAGCTACTTCTATTTGTCTGGCATCAACCTCCTGCCCTTTCTGCTCATGGCTCAAAATGAAAACCAAAAGTTGGAACCACATTTAGCCGAGGCCTTTGAAGTCTGTGAGTTTCAGTAAACCACTTTTGTTGATTGGCTCTCAGATGTTCTGCAGTAAGATAAGATCAAAAATTTCCTCCTCACATTTGTGCAGTTTCTGTGCAGTTGTCACAATGTAATATACTATGGCAAAAATGAATTAGAGTACTAGGGTGGGAATGTTTGAACAATAACTGTTCCCATTGGCTTTACATATAAAGTCAGTCAATGTTTTAAGGAAGACATTACTCAATTTTGAACCTTGTTAAGCAACTGGAGCATGCAGAGTCACCGAAGCTGCACTTTATAGACTCAGTTGACGTTTTTACGTGTGTGTGATTGAAAAGCTCCAATCTGTCGAATGTCACTTTAAAATTAAACATGTTCTACTTATGGGTTACAACATATATAATACTAATGTTCACTGAAACAAGCTTAAGTCAAAGACGACAGGTATAAATGACAAGAACACGTTAACAAGCTTTTCTTTAAATCATAGCAGTTAATGCACAAACCACAAATGCTACACATGTCTCTCCTTGGTATCAATCATCAATATATCCTGTCATTCCCTACTGTCAATTACTTCAAAAGGCAATGCATGTTATGTCATAAAATAATTGGTACCATAAATGTCAGTAGTTAAAAATTCCTGCTCAGTCTTTTCATCATTGCGTACAATTGGAAAAACGTTGTAATATTTCCAAGGTCTTAGGAATATCCAGGGGAGGGGAGCTTTGTGAGGTCTGCTGCGCTCCTTCCTGCACTGTGATTGACTCTTGGATAACTGCCAAAATCAGTCTCTGGAAATCTGATCAGAGTGTTTATTCATCGGCCTTTAAACAAATGGTTCACTTTTACTATAAATCACATGTCACAGTTTCACTGTTAGTGCTCCCGTCAGCAGAACCAGGCAGCTGATTGTTTGTCCGGCGCAGTGAAAATGCAAGAACGGCACAGGATGGACAGACAGCTGGAGAGAGAGTCCTCTGTTGGGCTGTAAATCAGCGCTGATCTGACTGGGCAGACACACACAGGGACCGGAGCGTGGCCCAGCGGCCAAAACCACATGGGGCAGGAATGTAAGGCCCACTGCATTGTGGGTGTGTGTCTGTGGGGAAGGATTGCAGACTCCCTGACTCACAGGACACTGTGAGGTTGGGGGGTGTGAAGGGGTGAGGATGGAGAGGAGGGGGAGGGCAGCAGAACTTTCGGGAATCAGAGTGCAAGTTCAGGAGGAGTGTGAATCATCATCATGCTGTCTCGTTTACAGCTCCTTACTCTCCCATCACAACATCCTCTGAGATTTGACTCTTAAATCTTTTCAGGATCTCCTATGAAATATAGATTATGAAGCTTTATGCACACAAGAGAGGAGAGTATCCCAAGTGACAAACATGATGTTATTGTAGGTCCACCAATGCCTCGTTGTAGTGTCTTTAAATGCGTTGTACCCTCAAATCTGTACAACCTAAGATAAAAGGTGATGTAAGTAAATGAACCATAATTATTGTTAAAAGTATTGAAATTGTGACATGAATTATAAATATATCTTCAAAAATCAGACATGTTTTACCAAACAGCAACAACACAACAACATGAGTTAGATGTAGAACTATACACAACATGTTTCATACATTCAATAAGCTGTTTGAACGATGTACATTTTGAAGTGTTTGAGATACGGTCCTTTTTATCAGCAGAGTGCGAAAGCATTTGTGGTTTAATGACGGTACACTCAGCATAAATGGTATGGTTAAATGATAAGATAACAAATGATGTAATCTACTGGTTTCCGCGAGTGTAAAATGTCATGATGCATAATGCTAAATTAAGATAATCATACAAACGTTTTCAAAGGTGGTCAAAAACTAATAAGAGTACCAATACCAAGGTACTCATGCTAAAAGAAAATCCCATATCAATATTGATCAGGCTTTATGCAGAACAAGAAATGGAAATGACTGCTATACATCTCTGTACATACCGCAATCTAATAATCTGTCTTTCTTTGTTTCCCTCATCCCCAAATCCCCTCCTTTGCTCCACCTTTCCTTCTCTTTGAAGTGCCAAAGAAGTTGCTCCAGGAGCAGGGACCCAGACCCCCGGTGTTCTCCCCTCCACCCAGCGCCCATGACCCCAACATAGTGGGAGACAGCCCTCCAGAGGGGAGCTCAGTCAGAAGCCCCGACGCTGTTCCAGGTAAGCAAAACGACATGAGCTTTTTCACTCTACCCCCCAGTGACCGACACTCTCTCCCAGCCCCCCATGGAGAGCAGTTAACGCTAAACAGTCCCGAGGCCTCCCAGGCACCAGCAGAAACAGTCATTCAGGTTTTAAGTCGGAGCATATATGTATGTATATTTAAAGTCACACGGGTTCAACTGTTACCATATGTATCCAAGCAGAGCCATCGGTTTGGACCATTTATGATCATTGCTCTTAAAAATATACGGCTTTTCAAGAGCCAATGATGTGACCACAGTCTAAATCAGTCTGCTATACTGCCCTGCTCCCTGAGAGAGAAGAAAGTCGAAGAACAAATGAAAGAACGAAAAAAAGAAAAAGAAGACGCCAGCTAGGAAGGAAACTTAAACAAAGCTTTATTCATGAGGGATGATGGCCTGCGTCCAGCACACTAATTACTCTGCTCAGCTACCGGCACTGTACTGATTAGGAGGATAGACGGATGAATGAGGAGCTAAGAGAGGGAGGAGATGTGTGCTGGCAGCTCCTGACGCATGAATGGCTTCACTTCCTCGCACCGGCTTCAAACACTCACCTGAAGCTCGTCTAGAAAAACCTGTTTTCATCTCCTATCGGGATGAAACTATGAACGCGGAATAAGAAACATTTTACTGTAAATAAAGGTATCGTGCAGGCGTGTGGTGCAGTGGGTTGTGCGTTGGTGTTCGGATCAGGGGGTCACAGGTTCAAACCCCACTGCAGTCAGCATGTCGTTGTGTCCCTGGACAAGACACTTCACCCCAAATTGCTCCTGTGAGGATTGCCCACAGTATTGAGTATGTAAGTCGCTTTGGGTAAAAGCGTCTAACAAGTGACATGTAATGTAATGTATCAGGATCTTCACGTTTATTCACCTAATTTCTCTTAGTTTATTTTCAACCGGATAAGTGTAAAATAAACAGAATCAATCTTTTTACTTGACCCTTATGTTGGCAGTTTACCATAATCCTGGACCGATGTTATAGCATACTGTAATGCTTAAAGAAATAGTTCCACATTTTGGGAATGGGGTAAGATGAGAACAGTCATAAATGCAACTTCTTAAAATAATACTGATCAGGGACATTTTGTACAAATGGACTCACCCGTTAAAAAGGTTTAAGAAGTTTAAGTTGTAAACCACACATTTTTATTGTCTCCATCTTTGGTCCTCACTGCTCGTTGCTGTGGTGTTTCTCCACTGCGATTCCCAGAGATCATTGGGCCACCATAGAGAAAGTCTCCGTTTTTTTGTCTCTTAAACCATGATGACACCTAAATCTGGTCATAACTACCCAGTTCCCTTATGTCTTTTATTCATTATTAAGCCTTACCCTCTGTTGCTGATGCTAAAAACATAAAATACTATTTATTTCTCTCTATTACAACAGCAGTCAAAGACATGTTGAGTACTGGAGAAAACATGAAGAGTGCTTAATTTATTTTGAAATATGTCTTTTTTTTGCGGTTGTTTTAAAGTCCGGTTTGAATTGAGTGCACCTCACATAAATGAAACACTATTTACGTTTATGTTATTCATATTATTTAACAATTTAGATTTTAGGAAATAAATAAATGGATTATATGTTATAAAATGTAAAAAATATTCAATCAAAAGAGCAACCACAGCATTTACATAATTATGTTTAGTTGTATTTATAGCCCTGTAAATGTTTTTCTTAAGGATACGTCTGCCTATGTTTATGTGTGTTAGAAATAGAGATTGCTGCATGTTGTTGGTTGAATGTTAGCTCATGCACCACAGCAGGGGGTCCAGGTGGAAGCATTTACCTCCTCCGTAAGCAACTCCAGTCCAAACTGCATTAATCAGATAGAAAGAGCCTGACTCACCTTAAGAGAGACTGTAATTAGAGGTCATTGGTGTGTGTGACAGTCCACCAAAGTATGCTCACCTGCAACAATCCTGCATGTGAATAAGACTAAACACAGATTTAAGGCTCTGATATTGAAGTGAACACTTCTGTTTATTTTGGCTGTCGTAGCTTAAGGGTTGTGTTTTTCAGTGAGGGGTTGCTTATTCAAGGAGCTAAAGTTTCAGTAGTAACATATTCCATGTAAACACTTCTTCACGTTAACAAGATGTGACTTCACTCAGAAAAACGTATTAAAATCCTTCTGTGCTCCTCTGTTCTCTCATCTTGACTCCTCGCCTCTTGCATACACATCGAAGCCAGCATGTAAACACAGAAAGAAGTCATACTGTGATGAAGGAGAGAGAGAGAGCAGGAAACAGTTGTTCTCTTCTATAAATAGATTGTTTTCTGAGATTTTTGGGAAACTTTGGAGATGTTGCCAAAGTGCAAACGTTTCCCATGTGGGTCTCTGTTCTCTTTAATGACATGAGTCAGTATGAGTTTGACAGAAGCGGATGTTGTGTGTGTTAAATTCTGGATCCCACAACTCTCTGAGAACATGTGTGCGCCTTTATGCATGATGCATCTTTTATCAGAAGCTTGTGTCCTAGATCAAAAACCACTGAGACTGGTGATGACTCAGCAGTCTGAACACTATAGTCACAATACTTCAGAGACACTACACACTGACTTTACTGTCAATTAGCTAACTCATGCTGTAATAATCTGACTGTACATGCAGTCATTAACTATTTATAACTATTTATATATGTCATTGCATGTGGGCAGACACAGATTGAAGTTCTATTTTGAAAAAAAACACGACTGTCTAAATAAAGAATTCAAATGATAAACGAATCATCCCCTTAAAATGTAGTCTGCTTTGTGTTGTTAAACTGAACTTTTCTGCTTTTTCAGAAAGGAAGAAGGTCAGGGAGACCAACCCCGACGAGGAGAAGCTTTCAGAAGCCGGAGTAGTAGGAGGAGGTGGAGGAGGAGAAAGAGAAACTCCACCGCCCCCCCGAGTAATGAATCCCATCATGAACTCCACGTCTAGCTCCAACATGGCCCTCATCAGCAACGCACTGGCAGCCTACACTTTCATATCAGGTAGGGCACACTTTATATAATCATGTGTGACATCACATCACAAATTAGACACCTTAATCTGATCTCTGACCTCTATCAGGAAAACATTACATTTAACCACAGAGATTATTATTAGTGGAGAAAATCAGAATCCCTTTATTCGTCCCACAATGGGGAAATGAACATTGTTGCAGCAAAGTATAGATACATCAAATAAAAAATAGAACAATATTTTATAGTATTTAAAATAAAAATGATAACAATTTACAGAAGTACACATTCAGGTAGATAAGTAAGTTGTCTTGAAAAAGAGCTGGATAATAATGTCAAGGGGCGTTTCAGCTCGAGATTACTTCATGGGCAGGACAACATTTGTCCTTTGTATTTGAGTGCATGGCTTCATGTGAGGTACATGTGTGTGGTACGCTATCTTTTGGGTAAAGAAAACCCCGTTTCCTTTTTCCTGGAACTGAAATTTGGGGGCCAGAGGAATGCAGATGTTAGGCCGAGATAAAAGCTACACACACACACACACACACACACACACACACACACACACACACACACACACACTGTCAGTCACCTGCTACAGCCAGCTGCTTAAACATATGCTGCAATCATATGGGGGTTTGGATACTTCCTGTTTTATTGCCTCAAATAAACAGTTTATACTTAGTGAAAGGCACTAGTTATACAGTCAAATAAACATACACTGAAATGTTTAGTGGAGGCCGAACCTGTGTAGGGTAGGGTGGGCTCAAAAGGGTTTCTTATATTTCTAAGCTGCCATTACGTTTTTAGACCCGCATTTTAGAATTCCTTTTACTGAGGAATATAAGACCAATACAAATAATTGATGACCATCAAATGTGACCTTTCAAAAAAAGATACAGAGTTAATTGAAACTCTGTTTAAACATGATAGTAATATTTGCAATTTTATGCCTTTTTTATTTGTATTTCTCAATTGTCTGAGGTTTTTAAGAGCTGTAATCCTCAGTTTAAACGGAAAGAAGTGAGCTTGGAGAATATAGCCAGGCAGTACTGCAAAGGCATGTTTTCTGTATGAAATCAACTAAACCTTTTTTGTCGTCTGTCTTTCTTCCCCCTAAAGACCACCCAGAGAGGGCAGCGCTCTTCTTTGTCTGCGGCGTGTGTTTGGGCCTCTTCCTCACACTCTTCGCCCTGGTGGTGCAGATCTCCTGTCGCACCGACTGCCAGCCTCGGCAGCGGCCTCCTGCCAAGAAACGAGCGCGCCCTGCCGACTCGTCCTCCGAATCAAGTGACTCGGACTCAGATTGGGAAACCACCTCAGATCTGTCGGCGCGGCGACACCGGCGGTTTGAACGCACGCTTAACATGAACGTGTTCACGTCGGCCGAGGAGCTGGAGAGAGCGCAGAGGCTGGAGGAGAGGGAGCGCATCATCCGAGAGATCTGGATGAACGGGCAACCTGACATCCCCGGGACACGGAGCCTCAATCGCTATTACTGAGGACTCTTTAGGGGCTTTTTTATGTAAAGCTTACTTGACTTGAACACAATTTAGGATGCACTTGGGTTGGGGCAAGATACATGGTCCTTAAGAAGCTTTATAAGCAAACTGTGGACTCACTGATGAGAACAGGGGAAGGTATTGGAGATGCAAGGAAAAGTCCTCCCTATTTGCTGGTTTGCATATTCCTCTGGGTATCATAAGCTATACCCCATTCAGTAAGAGAATAAGCTCCCACTCTGCATGGTAAGCTCACTTCTTTCTGCCGGAAGCGAGGGGTGAAAGGCTACAGCGCCTCGCCCGTGACCTCAGCAGGCCGTTTTGAAGTGGGGATTTATGGGTTAGCTGCCTTAGACACACACAGGCCTGCAGAGAGGGCATAGTGACTGAAGGACCAAGGCCTCAGATGGATCTTTTTTATGCAGGGTCACCTGAAAAAGACTGGGACACTTGGAGCTTTATGCTCAGCACCCTCCAGTATTCAAGTGTGGACTTTACAGAGGGGCGGCATAAAGCAGAAAGAAGTGTACTATGGGACAATGTAAGACAATCTTTCCACAGAAAATAACCACGCTGCCTTTTGAACTTTCTAAAAACCAAAATATATTTTGGAGGGAATTCATCTCATCCATTATGAAATCTATTTTATAATATTTAATAGTTTATTGATGTTGTGTATTTTTGTTCTCAAGTATGGTTTATTATGAGATATTTTTATACTTGGCGAAGGTTTGTCTGGCACCTCAGGGATGCAATCCTAGTGTTTCTGTGTTTGGTTGATGTATTTGCTTCCTAAGAAGGGGATCAGCCCATTTACAGTAAACAGCTAATGTCAGCATTTAAAGAAAAAAAAAATAGAAATATTATATAAAGAGCCTCAAAGAGGTTTAGTGATTTTATCTTATTTTTGATACAGTATGTTTAATTCACAGTGCGGTGCCTTTTCTAGCTATTAGGTCACTGTTGTCATGAGTGCAGCTGGTATATAACCCTATAACTGGTCATATTGGATATTCCAAATTTATCTTATCATATGTATTCTCGTTTAATGATTACTGTCGCTTTGCCGAAGTAGAGCATGTGTAAAATATGTCTCTGTCACACGTTGCACTTGCTGTTCTCCCTGGATGTAAATGTTCATAACCAGAATATGCCAATTTTGTACCAGTAAACACGCTAGAGATAATTGTTCTGGTCGTCACCCAAATTGCAGGTCAACTGTGCCATTACTTCTAAGGTACCAGTGCTAAACCAGATGATTGTGGTAACCGCTGCTCATGGCCATCTGGAGAAGGAACCAGCTCTGAAAAAAGGTTCACAGTGCACGAGCAAATCTGCGTCTCTTAAATCATGTTGCCAGTTCTATAAAATAAGCTATTGTCAATCCAGCTCTGTGTGCGCTGCCCTGGATTCCAACATAGAAATAGTTATAGTTTTCATTAAAAAAATGACTGAAAGTGACTGAAAGTTTAAATGAGAGTATACAGGACATATTAGGGTCATCCACATAAAGACTGCCACTATATATCGTTTTTTATAAAGACAGTTTTTGTGTTTGAATTTGAATGGATAAAATGTGCCGATAGCTGGTAAAGTGAGACCAAATTATGACTCCTGTGTTTGAAATAAACTGTGTTGAAAAAAAACTTGCCCACTGATTTAATCTTGCACATGTGCATGTTCACAATGCTTGTATTATAGCCCAATCATGCACACTACATGCTCTGTACTATGTTCTTACTGTTCTGATCTCATACTAATGTCATGCTACAGAAATAGAGCGTAAACAGTAAAGTAAGGTCATTATATATCACAAGATATGTGTTTATGATGGATGTGATGGATGACATATTGTTATTGAGTGGAGCGAGAAGTGTTGGTGTGTGTCGCCCCCTGCTGGTGAAGTAAGAATTCTTCAGTTTGAGTGCATGGATGCTTTTATATTTATTTTTGAATGCCTGTCATTAACAAGATCTTACTATTCTGGACGTTTCCGTTTGTTTCCACTTTACATATCATTTAGTTTTCATAAATATTTGTTTTCCTTTAACATTTGCTTCAAAATGTTGCTGTCGTTCCGTTTCCATGGATACAACAAAAATAACAACGAGGTGGTTGTCTGTCCGAGTTTTACACAGTAACAAAAGCTAAAACCTTGTGTAGGTTGGAACAAATACTACGACACCGGCAATGTCGTTGAACATGAATAGCACTTTTCGGGATGTAAGGGTAAGAATATAAAAAGTTACACCTAAACTTGGTTTTATTTAATGCAAATGTTGCAAAGTTCGCTATAGGCCTACGCTTTAAGGCGCTAACGTTTGCGGAAAATGTGTCAAATGTAATCTTAGTGGGGAAGAGAATGTGCTGTCCTCTTTATGTAGCCTAATGCAAAGTGCATTCCTATAGTAGGCTATACAGCAGAATAATTTCCGCAGTTTTGCTGCCATTTTGGTACAATTCAGAACTAACTAACGATGCTATTAGCTATAACAGTTACAATATCATCTGTTATCTGTTCGGCTACTTTTATATTGTCATTGTCCGTGGGACAGCAGTGTTTTCTAGAAACCGAAGTGTGCGTGCGTTAGTGTGCGTGCGTGCGTGTGTGTGTGTGTGTGTGTGTATTTGTGTGTGTGTGTGGTGTGTGTGTGTGTGCGTGTGTGGTGTGGTGTGTGTGTGTGTGTGTGTGTGTGTGTGTGTGTGTGTGTGTGTGTGGTGTGTGTGTGTGTGTGTGTGTGTGTGTGTGGTGTGTGTGTGTGTGTGTGTGTGTGTGTGTGTGTGTGTGTGTGTGGTTGTGTGTGTGTGTGTGTGTGTGGCGGACACCGGCTCTTAAAATACGATGGTGTGACATTTTAGCAGAGGTGCTCATAACATGAATATTGGTGAGTGGTGACACAAAGTCAGGGCAACGATAAACCTGCACTAACCTGCACATAAATATGAACTTCTCCTCCATGGAGGAGAAGTTCATATTTATTTGCGTACAATTATGTTTACGGAAGTAAAGATATCTCTCGGCTGGGATTGGTTGTTCCTCGTCACATGACTAATAGTGCACCACCGGTCCGTCTTCGTTCCAAAAGTTTAACTATTTTCAACTCCGAAACGACGTCTCTAACATGTTTTGAGCGCGTGTTCATTGAAAACAATGGAAATGACTGCACACAAAAACGCTCGTGTGCAAGGCCCTTATAACTGTTCTTTGAGTGTAGTATCTGTGATTTAAATATGTGTATTCCCATTGCAATTTGCCAGAGCTAATGTATTCCTTCCTCAATGCTCTCTCATGCAGAAGTCAGCCTTCCATCGTTCCCAGACTCTGGTCTACAGGAATGGATTTGCTGTGCCTCGTCGCCCCACTGTGGGCATTGGACAGGACCCTCTTTTATCAGAGCAGCTGATCCAGCAGCAGATCAGTGAGTTGTCCTCTGAGACACCATACATTACTCATGGCTCCTATCAAGAACAAGGCCTAGTTGAAGACTTCATCCCAGCTTACGTGGCCCTTGACAAGAAGGTACAATCAGGCCCAGAAGACCATCATTTGAAGATCTTTTGCTGGTCATGGTTCCTGTTCCTCACCAAACTCTTTTTCTTGTAGGTGCTGCGGTTCTATGCATACTTTGAGGAAGATATCCTGTTTTCCCCTAAGGAGCAGCATCGTGTGTGCCCCGTGGTCATTTACTACTACCTTGAGGATGACAGCATGTGCATTTTTGAGCCCAGGGTGGAGAATTCTGGGATACCGCAGGGGGAACGGATTAAACGCCAGCGTCTGCCCAGGAATGAACAAGGGGAGCCTTATCTATGGAAGAACCTCAATATTGGCATGTACCTGGAGGTGTACGGGGTCAAGTACAACATCACACAGTGCGATGCTTTCACTAAGGTACAACACTAACTTGAATGCTTTTGCAGTGCCTTGTGTATCTTATCTTTTCTGTGTCTCTTAGATAAACATGGATACATTGTTGTTCATATACTCTCTCATATGTCTCTTTCTGTATTATCTATAGGAATTCATGGAAAGTGAAGGCATTGTTCTGAATGACCCTGAGCCAATGCCTGTGGATCCTTATGGCCAAAGTAGAAAAAACACTCTGCCTTCCCACATAACACCCTCCAGCTTTGACCAGATGCAACAATTTATCGACATGGATCGAAAGGTAAAGTCCCTCAGATCCAAACTCACTAGGAACTCATTTTCAAACATTAAACCAGACAGTTTTTAACAGGGAAGCAGGAGTACAATATAAGATGTTCAAAAATATCGTATACCTTTTTATACCTGCCATCATGTTATACAGTATTTGCTCTTGCAAATATTGCTCTCCTCTCTCAGTAGACTGCACCTAAAATAATTTAGATGGGGAGACGCCATTCACACTACCGAGTTAAGCATTATGTATCTGTTGGACAAACTATTTATCCTAGCTTAATCAAAACCATTATATTTCATTAATTGTGACAAGGATCCAATTTTATATAACTGACCATATAAAACATGAAAAATGTGACGTTAACCTTAAGAAGTGTTCTGAACCACTGAAAAGCTTCTAATGAGTGATGTATTCCAACTCTAGTTTCAGTGTTTCAACCTCTTCTCGTTCAGGTGCTGCGTTTCTTTGCCCTGTTGGATGATGCAGACGCTCTGTTCGCGGACACCAGGGCCGTTACCATCCAGTTCTACCTGGGGGACAACACAGTGGAGATCAGAGAGGTCCACGAAGCCAACAGCGGCCACGATCCATTCCCCATCCTGATGCACCGACAGAAGCTGCCCAAGAAATTTAAAGCTACGCCTCGTAAGATGCAACAGTCTGAGTCAGCTTCAGCTCTGTATAGAATTACATTAGGTCTCATACAGTGCTTTGGTTAGCTGTCTCTTTGTGTGCAGACATGTACATCGGTACATGTCTCTTATGCATGAAGAAGAACACAATCCACATAATGATCCACTACTATTTTACTCAAAATATTTAAAAAATAATGACTTTATTTATGTAGCGTTTTCTTTTAAACAAAAAATATGCAGTATAATGTTGTTTTAGGTGTAAAAAGTAATAATTTTACAAACAAAGAAGAAGATATTTAACATACTGTCTACATTAAAGCAGAACGGGCTCAAAAAATAGACAACATAAGAGAGATTTAAAAACGAATCAACACTCATCAAGTTACTCATCCTATTACTTCCAGAGAACTTTCCCAGCTGTGTGCTGGAGGTTTCCAAAGCAGAAGTAGAGGAGTACTACACTCCTAAAGACTTCCAGACGGGTCAAACGATGAAGCTGCGGGGCCGTCGCTTCCTGCTGTACGACTGTGATGGCTTCACTAAAAAATATTACCAGGAGAACCACCCTGACATCCAAATGAAACCCTCAGAGGTACCAAACAAGACCAGCCTGGTTCAGCTGAGGAAAAAGGTGAGAAACAAAAAATGTTCATCTCTCTTTTGTTTTCTTTTCCTCTTATGTTAGGAATAATTACTTATGGTTCATTCATTACAGGAGGTTCCTCCCTATAATGGTTTTGGATCCCTCGAAGACTCTCTCCAGAATTGTTTGTATTTAATTCCTGAGCCTCCCAAAAAGAACGTGTTGAAGATGTTAGAAAACAACAACAAAGTGTTGTGCTACAGTGCCAGGATGGTGAGTCAACATCTATGAGAACATCAGCACCACACCACATCATTTCTCTCCTTGCTGAAACCGTCCTTTGTTCCCGACATTCCAGGAATCCCAGAATCCTGACGATGATGGCCGACTCTTCATACTGTCCTACTCCCTGGCTAACGACATGATAAGTATTTATGAAAAGCCCACTCGCAACTCTGGTATCATTGCTGGAAAGTTCCTGAAAGACACACGCATCCCCAAACCGGGCTCTGCAGTGGAGAATCCGGAGTTCTACTCACCTGCGGACTTTGCTATTGGAGCCACTCTGCACGGTAACTTTCCCACTTTAACAGCCTGAATTTCCTTATTGTCTTGTTCAAAAGCAGCTTTGTGTAACTCATGTAACGGTAACACTCACTGTAACACGTCAGCCTGAGTTATAATGGTTTAAATGCATTTCCCATCAATAGAAAATACATCTAAAACTGTTCTAATTGCATCCGTCTCCTCTGTTTTTGTAGTTTTCGGCCGTCGCTTTGTGCTTACCGATGCTGACCAATATGTGCTGAACTACCTGGAGTCCAACGCCGGCCAGATCCCGCATCAGACTCTGCTTTCTTTTCACCAGAAGTTTGGTGTGAGGACAGAAAACAACCAGGCACATGACCAAAATGGTAAAAATCAAATCATCAATCTAGCAAAACGTCTTTTTTTTCTTTAAGTTTACTTACACAACAATGTTCTGTTTTTCATTCTTTATCAGGTGATGATGTAGCAGAGCCATCTTCATGATGAAAAGGAAGGCTGGATTGCTTCAAAAAGTTGTTCACTCCCAAATAAATCATCACAAATTAACGCCTTTGGGTCATTCTACAGAAAAGGTGGAAGTGCTGTCACTTACTTTTGCAGACACCAAAATACATGACGTTGACCTAATACTCACATTCATTATATATGTTGAATAAATAGAGATTGTCTTTGCAATGGTACTAAATACAAAATAAATAAAAAATGGTTTTATACGTAAATTGCAATTTATTTAAAATGCCAAGTTCAAGGAACTGCCTTGTCACTTTGATCATACATGGAAGTGGGGCCTATAGTTTTAATTTAAAAGATTTTTTTTTCAATAAATAAATCTAATTTATATTTACATAACATTACAAGCATTAAATATAACACTGAAATGGTAACAAAAAACGCAAATTATTATTAATAATATCAAATAAATGTCAGTCACCCAAAATTACGTCATTGGTGTTACTGCTACACAAAACGCTTTTATTTTTTAAATAATGTACCGTCTCTGAAGTGCCTCCTGTAACAAGAGATTATTTGAGGCAGTGCAGTGGACAAAGACATAAGGAAAGTCAGATACTTCTTACTTTGTTTGCTAAAGGTGTCATTTTATCTTCTAATTTTACATGCGTCTTTCAAGTCTGTCATTAGTGTTACTCATTGCATAGCCCTAGGGGTGAACATTTGAATGGGAAAATGTATTGTATTGAAGAGTTCAACGATTTTGATATTGACTGAAGCCATATTTGGTCTGACACATTGCAGCCATTTTGTTAAAATGGTAGTGTTTTCTCCAAATTGTCACTGGTGTTACCGTCACTGGTGTTACTCTCCTTCCTGGTAACACGTAACACACCAGTGACATTCCTATACAAATAAGCTTTGTATAAAGTATACAAATAATAAAAATATTTTAAGCTCTACTTGTTGTGGATTCATCAAGTTAAGAGTTAGTTATTGCTATTTAACAGGTTTTAGATGTTTTTAGAAGGAATATATTTCAGCAGATTTGTATTACCCAGATTCCACCTTTTCTGTAGAATGACCCCTTTACTGAAAATACTGAATCTGCTGCAGAAAAGATCTTTTTTTTTTGGTGGGTTCTGACATTTTTTTTTAATTCAACAGCTGTTTGGTGTTAGTATGGTTGACCTTACAATACCCCTCCTATATATATATAATATATCAAGTGGTCACCTAAGACATAGCCTAACCATCTCATAATGTTAGAGGCCTAGATTGAAGCTATACATTCTATAAAATCTTGTCTTCTCAGCCTCACCAAACCAAACCAGGTCTGGACGGGTATAAACTGTCTTTGTCATAATGCATGGGTTTGTCTCTTTATCCACCGCGGAAACGCAACCATTTTTCGTTGATGCAAAATCGAAAATAATAAAGACTGATACTAGAACATTGAGTATATGTAGTGTAAACAATTAAAATATAGAAAAAGTACTTCCATCAGAATATTTCAGAAAAATGCATTATTTAATAAAGTAATTAACAAAAAAATGGAATGGCATGCAGTAATATCCAACATACATACTTGATGCATATCTTTTAAGTGACCAGTGACAAATGGAAGATTTTAAGCAGACAGGGAGGAGCCCAGGTGACTACTCCTTTCAGTGACATGGTAAAGGGGAAACGTTAAAGCCAGCATACAGTGAGCTCATATCATCAGTAACATCTTTCTGCTCCAATGGACCAGACTAGAAAACAAGCATAGCCGGCTCAATGCGTCCTCAGACAACACTACAGCCAATACAGTACTTACGTATTAGGATATGCATCGATACATTCAGCACTGACACACAGAGTCACGTGTGCCTTATACTGTGCTCACAATTTAAATCATTCTGTATACAATGGTGCTCCTTATCCGTGGGATAGCAGGCTGCATGGATGTATAAAAAATACTGATATGAATAGTAAATGTCTGTTGGGCTCGAGGGATTTCCTTGGATTTCGTTTTTACAGCATTCAAGCCTAAGTCTGTAGCGACTGAGTCCCTTTAACATCTCAAGATGAACTCAACAGGAGGCTTGGTGGTCAGCGGCCGCCATCTTTCCTGTTGTGCTGATGAGGAACCTTAGCCGGAGCTAAGGCCATTGTTCAGGCCAGTCAGTGTGTTGTCTTAGGGGGATTTCAGCTTTTTGATCCGAGGAGAGGCTCCATTCTCAGCCTTAAGAACGCCATTTTCATGGTTACCAACTAGCAGGAGAGACAAAAGAGAGGAGTCAGGATCTCTACTAACGCAGCACATAGAGAATCAGTGTGATAGCACAAATTAAGAAAGGGAAAATGCGTGTTTTAAGTAAGGAATACACAGACATTACTGAATATCGTAGCACGATGTTGCCTGGCTATCTGTAACTATTAGGAAAATAAATCAGTGGTTTTATATTGAGTGTGTGTTTAGACTCACGTGAGTCTCTCTTCAGTGGTCGTAGGGGTTGTTTTGCAGCAGCCTTCTTGCGAATAGCCTGTTCGTGTCTGAACTCTCTCCAACGCTTCAGCTGGAAGCGGATAAACTTCCAGAGTAGCCAAGATTGGGTCAAACATACCAGCAGCAGAACAGTCATCCTGGAGGGGGCCAAAGGCAAGACGATTAGTGCCACATTAGCAATTGTGTGTGTGTGTGTGTTTTATTTTTAAATGGACCTGACATTGCTTGCAAATGTTGTCAAATTACTTCCTGACCCTGGTGCTTTATGATTTGAAACAAGTTGCCAAAAATTGCCAGGGACAACTAGGGTACCACAGTCTCGCTGACATATTTGAAAACTATTGTTTCTGTGATCAAGGAAACGGCAATTTATGTTGCTTCACAGTGATGCTGTCACACTTTAACAGAAATAGTAGCATTACAATTAGGAGTAAAGTAAATAAAATATATCAACTAATTAAATGACTGAATTTTCAGATATTATATATTAAATAGTTGTTTTTTATTTAATGTTTATTTATTTTTTTGAAAGTGAATTGTTCATTTCAAATGTCACAATGAAACCCTATGTAATCTTTTCTAAGTGACGTGTTTTTATTTTTAATTAAAAGAGCCATTTTCTGTCAAAATTCCTGGCTAAATGACTTTTCAGAAAGTCAGCACTTCTCATGCTGTGTTTTGACCATAAAGCTGTAAAAAGTCATTGTGGTGCCACAGAATGAATGATTATCCACAGATGTTGGACATAGGTCATTACCTTATCAGTACACTGTTGAAGTTGCCCATCTCCAAGTCCAGCCCCTGGTTCTCTACACGAGCCAAACCAAAGCCCACAGCCAGGAACATCAGGGTCAGAGTGACCATCCGCGTAAACACAAAGCTGACCGCCCACATGTTAAACCTGCAGCATCAAACAAATCAAACAGAATGGTGTAATTAAAAGAATACGTTGCAGAGTATGTAAAGCCACAAAGAGTCAAAATTGGAGAAAACAAATGTGATCGGAGCGAAGAGAGGAGGAGAGAATAAAAGCATTTTTAAGTCAAGTTAATAATATTAAACTCAGCGAGGAACCTACGCTTTCTGATGGGTCTCGTCGGTAAAGTAAAAGAGTCTGGCAATATGGAAGCCCAGCTCGGACACATACTGGAGGAAGAGGAGCACCACACCTACACGAGTCAAACTACACAGGAAAAAAGGGACAGCCAGGTGATGGATTAGGTGGTTTTCTCCTTTACGTCTTTTCACACTATCAAGGACTTCAGTTGTAATGAAATGTTTTCCTGCTTACTTCAACAAATAGGCTGCAGCGATGTGCAGCAGATACAGGCAGATGTACTTCAGCTGGCGAGGAATCTCCTCCTGAAAAAACAAATGAGGGTACTTTCACATCCTGAAGCCTTTATTTCTTTGTTTCTCTCAGTGTTATATGCATACAGCAGCAGTGCATTCACAACCAAACACACACACAGCTTATCTCGTCACACTCCAGAACTCCTCCGGTTCCCAGGCCTCCTTACTGACCTTGCGTACTTTCTGGAAGTAGAGCTCTGGCAAGGCGTGGAGCCAGTAGGCCAGCTGAGTCAGGTAGAAAAACTTCACCTGAAACCTGGACCACAAACAGACACAGAGAACGAAAGTAGGAATAAGTCAAAACGAGAAAGAGGTGGCCAAATGTACACAGATGTCACAGTGATACATTCTCGGTTTGATTTGTTCCCCTGTGAATACGCAACTGTTGAAGCAATAAAGAACCCTGGTTGAGAGTAGACACAACCAAGAAATCCTGTAATTCCCTATGTTAACTGTGTAGAAATGGTTTTTAATGCCCTTTTTTAAACTACGATTCTGCCAAAACTGGAGAATAATCCGACTTTAAACTCAATAATACATGGTTAGTTGTGGCTCTGTGTGCAAGGTGCACATGTCAGGAAATGATAAGCTCCAAACCACTAGAGAAAAACTGAATTATGTGTGGCATTTCTTTTTATCGTACTTTGATTTTCAAGCTTATTCTGAAATAAATACCATTAGAAGACATGTAAACTGAATATGGCCATGTCCCATAATCTACTTTTAATAGTGCATTCTGTTAACGGTCCTGGGTTGGAAAAATGATATAATATTTTCAAAAACCTTGTCTGTGAAAGGAATTGATCATTTGTAATTACAGGTTTTGTCAGATTACAAAGCAACAGACACATAAATATGCTTTGATTGGCTACAATATCTGTCAAAGCATTTCAAAATACAGGTGTTTTAACATAGATATCTTTAAGGAAATAATACACTGCTTTCAGCTTCACAAATGTGATTGTTTTCCTTTTTTTTCTGAGCCTTCTATGATATTAAAGTGAATACTTTTGGACTATGGGTCGGAAAAACACGACATCTGGATTTCTACTCAGGCTTTGGGGAATGTTTGAAGGGCTTTTAAATAAATAAAAATAAACTAAAAGCAGCCCTAGTATACATTTTTAAATGTAGAGACTTCAGAAAATATGTTTTGTTATTTTAGTATAATGCTGACCAGCTGTAAAACTGTATATTTTATTTGTGTAACTATAGTACAGACAGAGTGAGATATCAGTCATCATACCTGAGG